TCCAATATTCTTGTTTGGTTTCAATTCATGTTGGAATGAGATAAATGGTGGTTTAACCCAGCATTGATGGCAAGAAGACTCTCCTTACAAATCCATGTTGACAAATCAAGAAATCAACCGGTTCAAAAAAATAAGAAACAAGTTTTGACACCCCTTACCTAGATATTCTTGCCACAATATCACTTGGCTTGCCCTAATCTCTTTGACTTCCAATCCATGTTGCCTCTCACCCATTCTGTAGTCCCCCAAACCCTAATTTTTAAATTAGCTCTCCTAACCCCTTTGCTTTCCTTCACCAGACTATATAAATAAATAATTTAAATTTATATATTATTATTATTTTTCTGATCTAAGCCCTTCCTCTTCCAATTTCCAGCCCACTTACTCTCTTAATTAATTTGGTGTCTATGTATAGATTCAATATATTTGTCTCAATTGTTCACCTCCCAAGGTACACCACACAATTTATAAAAAAATAATATATATATTATTTCCTCCTTTTTGGTTTTGACACCCCTTACCTGGATATTCTTACCGCAAGATCACTTGGCTTGCCCTAATCTCTTTGGCTCCCAATCCACGTTGCCTCTCACCCACTCTGCAATCCCCCAAACCCTAATTTTTAAATTAACTCTCGTGACTCCTTTGCTTTCCTTTACTAGACTATATAAATAAATAATTTAAATTAAAATTTATATATTATTATCATTTTTCTGATCCAAACCCTTCCTCTTCCAATTTCCAACCCACTTACTCTCTTAATTAATTTGGTATCTATGTATAGATTCAATGTATCTGTCTCAACAATTCACCTCCCAAGGTACACCACACAATTTATGAAAAAATATATATGTTATTTTCTCCTTTTTAGTTTTGGCACCCCTTACCTGAATTTTCTTGCCAAGATCACTTGGCTTGCCCTAATCTTTTTGGCTCCCAATCCACGTTGTCTCTCACCCACTCTGCAATCTCCCAAACCCTAATTTTTAAATTAGCTCTCGTGACCCCTTTGCTTTCCTTTACCGAGACTATATAAATAAATAATTTAAATTAAAATTTATATATTATTATTATTATTCTGATCCAAGCCCTTCCTCTTCCAATTTCCAGCCCACTTACTCTCTTAATTAATTTGGTGTCTATGTACAGATATCACTTACTCTCTTAATTAATTTTGTGTCTATGTACATATTCAATGTATTTGTCTCAATTGTTCACCTCCCAAGGTACACCACACAATTTACGAAAAAATATACATTATTTCCTTCTTTTTACTCTAGTCAAGATTTGAAGTCACAACCCCCTAGACTCAAACATTACTCCAAACCATCTCAACCATCATATATTTCTTGTCAATCCACACACATAGTAAAAATTACAATGTACCCACACACATAATGCATACAAGAAAACAACCATCAACCAATAATTTCTAAACGTGACAATTTAAAATTTGATAAGTCCCTAAGCATACTCAACCTTCAGGCACACATGAGTATTTTCTAAACAATTATAAAATAATAGAAAATTATAATTGTTCTAATGCACATACAAGAATCGAACCCATGACCACCACATCTCAAGGCAAGAATCTAACCAATATTATTAAATTCTTAATTTAATTACTTCCCTTACTTCCAATTTCTACCTTAAAATATATAATTATTTTCCTGGGTCTTATAAGCCACCTCCTAAGCTAACACCTTCACAGACTGGGAGGTGAGTGAAGGAATTGCCTAATAATAGAAAGTAGTGTCAGAAGGATAGATGGATATGGAGAATGAAATTATTGGACAAAGAGAAGCATCTTTTGAGATCTGCCATATTGAAAAGATGATTTATTGAGACAATCTTGATGTGATGCATATAAAAAAAAAGTATTTGATAACATATTCAATACTGTGATGAATGTTAGTGGCAAGACAAAAGACAATGAGAATGAAAGAAAGGATTTAACTTTGCATTGTAAGCGAAAAGATTTAAAGTTGAAGTCACAAGCAAATAGAAAAATGTTAAAGCCTAAAGCAAATTACACTTTAACTATAGATCAAGCGAAATTAGTTTGTCGGTGGATAAAAGAACTTAAAATGTCTGATGGTTATTCTTCCAATTTGGCAAGATGTGCTGATGTTGAAAATGGAAGGATACATCGGATAAAAGGTCATGATTGTCATGTATTTATGGAGTGTTCGCTTCCTATTGCATTAAGCTCATTACTAATTCATGTTTTGAATCCTTTTATTGAAATAATTCATTTCTTCAAATATTTGTGCTCTACAACATTGAAGGAGGATGAGATAACTAGGATGGAGGAAAATATCCCAATAATTCTTTGTAAAGTTGAGAGAATATTCTCTTCTGGATTCTTTGATTCAATGGAACATCTCCTTGTTCATCAAACAAGGCTTGGTGGGATGATGCAATATAGGTGGATGTGTCCATTTAAAAGGTATTAAACAAGTCATGTCTTATGTTATTTAAATTTCATTCTTAATATACTTGTCAATCATAAAGTTTTTAAAATGTCTAGATTTATAAGTCTTTCTAAAAGATAAGTGAAAAATAAAGTCAAAGTTGAAGGTTCAATTTGTGTCGCTTGCTTGCATCGTGAGATAATGTACTTCTGATCTCACTATTTCAACAACCTCATGCCATCATTGTGCTATTCTAGGAATGACGTCGAATTTCAAACTCAAACACATGTGTCAACATTATCAGTCTTTCAGCAACATGGTCATCATTCTAGGAGAGAGTTGACTCAGATGGTGAGTTTAAGTCCGCTCATGTTCATGTTTTAATCAATTGTATCAAAGTTAAACTGTATCTTGAGTAAATTTTAATTGTTGTTGTTTTCAAGTTTCTTTGTTATAGTTCAATAATATTCTAAAATTGACTCTTAAAGTAGTTTATTTTGGTCGATTCATCCTTGCAATTAAAGGAAATAATTGAATCAGGTGCTTCTTCTCGTATACATATAAACTTTCCTACATGGTTTAGGAACATGTATGTAACTTATAATTTATTATATACATCTTTCTAAATCCTTTAAATAACATAATGAGTCACTCATCTTCTATTTTTAAGTTTATAATGAGTTTTTTACTATACAAAATCTGATTATTATTGATAGATATATCTACCGGTAATTACTCACATATAAATCTATCAATAATTACCACATATATTTTTAATTTAATAAAATATTTTTCAGCACACATTTATCGAATGGACACATCTATCTATCGATAATTACTAAAAAATATATTTTTTTTAGTAATGATTGATGGACACATGTTCATCAATAACCGATAAACACAAAATTTGGTCAATAATTTTTAGTGGCACCCTTTTACTAACAAATTTGTTTACCATCGAAAATCTTATAAAAAGTTTTAATTATTAACAAAAATTCATTATTACTGACAGAATTTGACAGTAGATAAAATATGAGATAACCAATTTTTTTATTATTATTCAATTTCATTATTTCTATTGAATATTAATCTCATATTTAAATTATAATAGTATATAGTCAAGAATATGTAAAGTTAAAATGATTGTTAATTTTTAATTAAAATTATAACTTTTTTTAATGCATTTGAAATAAATTTCTTATTTTCGATAAATAAATCCAGAATTTATATATCTATCAATATTAAGAATTTTATTAAAATTATAACCTTAAGAAATTTTTTTAAAATATCTATCAATATTAAGATTTATATATCTATCTATATATTTAATAAATTTATTTTTTATCGGTTTTTAATATTACCACTCATTTTTATTTTTCCCTTTTTTTTTATTTGTTGCACGTTATAAAGATCGTCTCTTCTTTTTTCGTTTTTTTTGTTATTTGTTTGAGGTTATATAGAGAAATGCCACAACTGTTCATGCATATTTTCACGTAACGGTAAGAAAATCATTTTTATCTCCACTCATAACTGTGGTTTCCGAACCCTGTAAGGATGATGTTTTTTCAGAAGAATTTTCCAGCAAATGAATAGTGCAGGCACAAGACATTGGCGTAGAACACGTAACCTAACCATGTCATTTTACACTCCGATTTTCCAGACAAAATTGAGTCTGGTGAAACTTATGGACTTAATAATTTTAATCTGTACATATATTTTACTAAATAAATTTTTGTTATAGAAGATATAATTTTTAACTTTTACATCATAAATCTTCATATATTTTGGTTTTGATTGTCAATAACATGGAAAATTTAGTATGATAAACTTCAATTTAAAAAATTTACGAGTTATATATTTCTTTCTTAGACTTTATTTAAAATTGTTTGAGACTATTTCAATCTTTTTCACAGCGTAAACTTATGAGTTTATTTCAACAACTCATTCTTATCAACATTTTCATGCATGGTTTATGAGCTTCCAAACAGATCAAACCATAAGCCTAAAATAAATCGCAAAGATTCTTTGACAGCGAAAACATTGGTACAGCTAGACTGTCGTACCATCGAGTCATTAACATGTTTCATCATTTTGGATTACACTACAAGCCTTGCAAATTATAACTTTCCTCTATTACACTCAAAACAAACTCGCCCTCCGTGGCCCCGCTGTTATGTCAGGTGCCTCACTTACATTTCCCTGTTAAGTTTCACTCAGAGACTCAACAATATTGAATCAACCAAATACATATGATCAAATTCAGAAACTGCTTACAAGCCTACAACACTGTACATCCACTTTCAAACTACAAATTAATTGACACACTTTACAGCAGGAAGCAAATGTGTTCATAGTTCTAACTTAAACATCCAGAGTCACACATCCTAGTTATCACTCCTCAACATGGTGTATGGTAACTTATTGATGTAATGAAATTACTGTTCATTGAGTAGTAAGATAAAAAGGTAATTAATCATTTGGATACCACAATTTAACTTTGATATCCTTCACTCGGTTTCGAAAAACAACAAGAATAGTGATGATGTAAATATGGAACTAAATTTACGTGGGGAATTATCAAAGAAGATGGAAGGAAAGCAATTACCTCATGAATGGCAGGGTCAGTGGAGTAAGAGAGAAAGAGGGACAAGGGAGGGTGAGGAAGCCGTGTTGGAGAAGGGGAGCACGTGCAAAAGGGTTCAATGGCGTTTAAGAGAGCCGAGAGCTGTAAACTTGCACGTGCCCTGCTTCTCCAACAAGGAGCTTCTCACCCAGTGAAGGAAAATTACTGCACACCTTGAATGAGTATGCGAGGGTGGTAGTAGAGGCTCATTATTTATAGGTAGCAACTTGAGTGTATGTGTGTATGAGTGAGAGAGAGAGAGAGAGACTAAGAGATTTATGTAAGCAACGTGGCAGGAGCAACAAGCGAGTGTGAAAGACATCAGAAGGTGATTCAATCCTAATTTTCACGTAACATACCATAAATGTTTATGGTCCTACTTAATATTCATGTGGCATGTAGTTGAAAATTTCAAATTATGTGAAAGAAATATAATAACACTTGTCTTAAAAAAATAATAACATTGTATTGCATGTTATGAAAAGATTAGTTGTGATTTCGACGAAACTGAATCATAATACTGTTGTTATTTGGAGTGGAGATGGAAATGAAGAAAGAGAAAGAAGTGTGGCAGTGGAAACCGTGGCATGTGATGGCATGGCAAGATGGCAGTGTGTACACAGAAATTCAAAGAAGGTGATATCGAAGGAAAAGCCGATTGGAGTGTTGTCTGCCTTAATTTCATAAAAAAGTGAGCAACCCCTTTGTTCATTTGAGGTTCAATAGAGAGAGAGTACTAATGCCATGACAGCCTTTGGATCCAGAGTGTTGGGGCCCACATGTACACAATCGGGGCACCCCCATGTTGGGTTATTACCCTTTTGGTTTGCAAAGAATTGGATTGTGCAAGCGCCAAGAAGGGAGATAGAGAAGAATAATAACGTATGAGTGCACGTAGGCTTTGCGTGTTGGGCGCAAGTTTTTGAGTATGGCATGGCATGTGTGTGAGTTTTAGAGAAAGTTCGGAGCCTCCCTAGCTTGATATCATTCCCTATACCTAATAGACCCTTACCTTTTCTCTCCTAAGTTTTTAGCTGTTTAATCAACACACCCTACACTCCAACAATTTCAAAGGCTAACATATTAATGCCTAAACACTGCCCATCAAGGACACAAAACTGAGAAAAGTCCTGCACAACTTCCATGATAATAAGCTTGTGTTCAGCAAGCATGTTAAGTTGACATGGATTTCATTTGGTATTCTGAGTTTGCATAAAGAAGTAACCTTGGTATGACTTTCAATTTAAACTTGGTTTCAGACCATATTAGTAAAACCATCCTGAAATCAGAACAAATTTTGTCTTGTCTTTACCACTTGAAAGTGGATCCAAAGGTAGGAGAAAAACTATTTAGTTTTCACAAGAGAGAATCCCTACAAGCCCTGTTATGAGAAGGTTTTTTGCCCTTTGGGGGAGGAGATGTAATGAAACATTACAAAGTCTAGTGAATAGCATGCGAGAACCTGTGGCGTGCGGCAATGGTTCAAATCCTAGTTCAGTTTCGACATAGGTCACACTTACGCAGCACATCATTACTCTTTGCTGTTCGGTTCACTGCTAGGTCAAGTGAATTAATTATGCACAATGGTTCAAGGGAAAAATGAAACAGGCTCGTATGTCACAGTGGATTTCTAAATCTTGCATGCACGCATGTCTTATGCATTAAAGATGCGATGAAGTGGGTGATTTTTCTAGGGTGGTCTATTGAATATGGATTGGGGCAGTTATGGCTTAAGAAATTGGCCATGCTTTTATCTATCTTGTGGGAAAAGAACATAGATTCTGGATGAGGTCATTACCAAATCTAAGGACTTTAATATTGGCGTGTGCCCCCTGCACTTGGTATGTGGTAAATGCTTTATTTGGTGAGGCACTACAACTATTCAAAGGTTTTTAAAACTCAATCATGCTCCCAAGCTGCTAAAATTCTAGTGCACTGATGTATCTGTTTGACTATGCTTCGGAAAAAGGAACAGCAACATAACAAAAAATGCCATTCCTTCTTTACCCTTATATTTGGGACATGATCAAATCTTTCACGTGCATGTTCCTTCAATAATTTACAGGTATGAACTAATACCTACCACTCACTGCCCTTTCCCTACAGCTTTTCTCTTTTCAATAACAATTTCAATATAGATCAACTTTTCTTATACAGAGAACAAAGCAAAAATAAAATAAAATAACCTACTTTTATGATTCTTTAATCTAACTTTCATAAAAGAAAATGGCACTAAAGAGTTTTTTGAGAGAGTCCAGTTTTTCTAATTGTTCATACAGATGATGGGAGGAACAAAGAGACTATATTTGTCTTTTAGAGTTATATGGTACTTATAAAAATTTAAAGGTTTTGATGTAATTATTTTATTTTTGGATCAATATAATTAAATAAATTTACACATCTTAACAAATGGATAGGGAGAGAATTTCTCAATAGAAGTACCAAACTTCTCAAATTTCGAAATATTACAGAATTTCCCTTTATTTTTAACCCGATTAAATTAGTAAAATCTTTGAAACATAAAAAATAGATAAGTTTATACTCCAAACTATAAGTTTTGCTAGCTTTCCTTAAAACATATTTGGCATATAACTAAGAGAACGCTACATGATTTGATTAAATAATTGATATTTATGCTAAAAGGGTTTTTTTTAGTAGGGTAACTTCGTTAAGTTTGTGATAAATGTTGGAATTATTAATTTAAAAGTTGTATTTATGTCTAGGCTTCAGATTTTAGTCCCTTTATTTTTCATATACAAGTTGTATTTGTACTTTATCATTATAAATAAAGAGATCACATGATAGATGTAATTTAAGTCTTCAAAAACATATATTTTTCTTCTTTTTATACTTTTAAGTTAGTATCAGAAAGGTTAATTCCGTTCAACTGGTCTATAGTCTCCTCCGATGAAAAATTTACCGTTATTATCTTCTTCAACCACCGTCTAGTTTTTCTCAATGACCATCAAATTTGGATTGTTTAGACTGTTTCCTCTAATGATGGCCACCCTTGTTGGTCCCAAACGGAGATTCTCAATCATGCACCTCCACGCATGTCTTCTCTCTGTAGTACTTCTTCGCATGTGTGGCCCACACATCATCCTCCCTTCATCAGAATATCTGTGGACAGTGGCGGATCTTGGGAGCTGAGGGGTCGTGACCCCTCAAAGTTTTAGTAACTCCTATGTAATTTATGATTTTGTCCTCCCCCAAACTTAATAAACATTTAATATATTTATTTGTATATTTACAATTTTATCCTCTTAGTCCCTCCTTAGTTTTATAACTCTCATATAATTTATGATTTTGTCCCCCTCAAACTTAATAATCATTTAATATATTTAAGTATATATCTACAATTTTATCCTTTCACCCTTTTATCTTCTTTCTTCCTTTTATATTTATTTATTATTTATTAATAATATATTATTTAGTCCCCCAAGATCAATGGTCAAGATCGCTCACTGTCTGAGCACGCCATCGGTGGGTGTCACCGTACCTCCCTGGTCCACGTCTAGCCTTGAGTTCTCCTTCTAGCAAGGTTGAAGGTCTCCTTTGGGTTTTACCGTTGTTGGAACCCATGCTAGCTACTTTCTCCATTTGAAGATCTTCTCAGTCTTGTTGAAACATACAAGGATATGAATGTTGAACATATAAGGATACGAAGGTTGTTGATTTTGATGATGATTCAAGAATAAAGGACTAAAGATTTGAATACTTGTAATGTTATGTAATAACTCTGTTTTGATGATTTTGAGTCTGTAATATTAGAGTCCAAGATAGCCAGCACATAATCCACTTTTTAAAGGTTCTAAAAACTCATTTTTATAAAAAACATATTGGATTAATCGATTAAATGGCAGGATAATCGATTATTACAGAGAGAAAACCATTTTCAGCATTCGCTCTCTGGAATAATCGATTAAACCATCTATTAATCGATTAACTGGGTTATTAATCGATTAAATGCCCAGTTAATCGATTAAACTGAGTTGTTTTGGGTTCCCTGCGAATTTGGCTCCGGAATAATCGATTAACACTCAAGATAATCAATTATTTCAGTCATATATGTGTTTTGAATTTCAAAATTGGACCAAGTTTCGAAAACTCTATTCCCAATTCTTCTGATTTCTAAAATCCCCAATTCCCAAACCTTAATCTTTCTACTTAAGGTTCTCTAAGGCTCTCTGCAAAGTGAACAACCTTTTTCAAACAAAATTTGAGAGTTGTGACTGTCAGAGAACTGTTTGTTAGAGGAAAAAGGGGATTTTGAAACCTAGTGTGGGCTAGAAGCGATAAGAATCACTGAGTGGGTTTTCTTAGTGGATTGTGTGTTATGCCATCTCTAAGAAAAGTTGTTCTTCATCTTTTGTGGGATTCAAAGGAGGTGTTCATCTCTTGTGTGACTCAAGAGAGGTGTATTCTTTACCTTATCTTTTCATTTGTAATCTGATTGTACAACTGTGATTATAGTGACAATGTTAATCCTCTGTTTGAGTGATTAACAACTGGACGTAGGGTCTTTTGATCCGAACCAGTATAAATCATCTGTGTAATACTCTATCCTTGCTCTATTTACTTTACACAACATTTTAATCGGTGAAATTTGGTGAAATTTTTTAAAACCCTAATTTTTGTTAAGAAGAAACCAACTCACCCCCCTCTTTGTTTTTGTCTGTTAATGCAAACATTCCGATGTGCGATTCTAACAAGTGGTATCAGAGCTTGCTTTGATAGTCATTCAATTTTCGAAAATGGCCGGACAAAATCAAACATTTGTCGAGGGTGCTTCTATCAATAGACCCCCTCTTTTTGCAGGGCAAAACTATCCCTTTTGGAAAGTTAAAATGCAAATATTTTTTGAGTCTGTTGATAGAGGTGTTTGGGACGCAATTTTAAATAGTCCTTTTATTCCTAAAATTTCTGAAAACGGAGTAGAAGTATCAAAACCATTTTCTAGATGGACGGCTGAAGAAAATAGAAAAGCCCAATATGATGTTAGGGCTATAAATATTATTTCATCTGCTTTAACCCTTGATGAGTTTTACAGGATCTCTGTTTGTAAAAGTGCTCAAGAAATGTGAGAAATGTTAAGAGTAACCCACAAAGGTACCGATGATGTAAAAAGAGCACGGAAGAATTCATTGATCCAAGAATATGAGATGTTCCGGATGCAACAAGGGGAAACAATCTTTGACATTCAAAAGCGTTTCACGCACATAGTGAATCATCTCACTGGATTAGGTAAAATTTTTTATGTTGATGAATTAAATGTAAAAATCTTGAAATCTTTGGATAGGAAATGACAACCTAAGGTGACGGCCATCATGGAGTCACAAAATCTAGCAACAATGTCTATGGCGGCACTCTTTGGAAAGTTGAGAGAGCATGAACTTGAACTTGGAAGGCTAAATGATGAAGAAGGTCAACATCAAAAGAGGAATCTAGCCTCCAAAACTCAAAACATATGACCGGAGACAAAACAAAATTTGTAAGTTTCAAAGCTAAAGAACAAGGATATGTAACCTATGGGGACAACAACAAAGGAAAGATACTTGGAATTGGAAATATTGGTGGTGCAAACACTTTGGAGATAAAGGATGTGCTTCTTGTTGATGGGCTAAAGCATAATCTCCTAAGTATAAGTCAACTTTGTGAAAAAGGATTCAAGGTAATCTTTGAAAGTAAGTTTTGTACCATACATTTAGTGAATTCCGAAAATGTAGCATTGAAAGGCATTAGGCATAATAATATATATTTTATTGATTTGGATTGTATACATGATACTAGTATAAAGTTTCTAAGGAAGAAAACCCATGGTTATGGCATAAGAGAGCGGCTCATATAAATATGCATCAATTAAACAAATTGATATCAAAGGACTTAGTTATTGGTTTGCCTAAGTTAAAGTTTGAAAAAGATAGATTATGTGATGCATGTCAAAAAGGTAAATAAGTAAAATCATCCTTTAAATCTAAAAATGTTATTTCCACATCAAAACCTTTTGAACTATTACACTTAGATTTATTTGGTCCATCTAGGATAAAAAGTTTTGGTGGAAATTATTATGCTCTTGTGATTGTTGATGATTTTTCTAGATATACATGGACATTTTTCTTAACATTAAAAAGTGAAGCCTTTAAGGTCTTTAGGAAGTTTGCAAAGCAAATTCAAAATGAGAAAGACTTAAGAATTAAGGTGTTAACAAGTGACCATGGTGGAGAGTTTCAAAATGAATGGTTTGAAATTATTATGAGGAAAATGGTATTTTGCACAATTTTTCTGCACCTAGGACTCCCCAACAAAATGGTGTAGTAGAAAGGAAAAATAGATCACTAGAGGAACTTGCTAGAACCATGCTAAATGAATCAAATGTTCCTAAATATTTTTGGGCTGATGTTGTAAGTACTGTATGTTATGTATTGAATATGATGCTTATTAGGCCAATTATAAAATTAACTCCTTATGAATTGTTAAATTGTAGAAAGCCTAATGTTGCTCATTTAAAAATATTTGGATGTAAATGCTTTGTTTTAAATAATGAAAAAGATAACTTAGGAAAATTTGACTCAAAAGCCGATGAGGACATTTTTTTAGGTTATTCACTAACTAGCAAAGCATATAGAGTGTTCAATAGAAGAACTTTAAATGTTGAAGAATCTGTACATGTCACCTTTGATGAAATTGTAGACCTTGAGGGAAATCCTCTTGAGTCAAATAAAGAATTTGCAGGTGATGATGAGTACATAAGAGAGGCTCTAGAAGAAATGTACTTGAATGATGAGAATGAGTCATCTCAACCAACTTAATTAGCAAAAGAGTGACAATCACCAAGAGGACTTTCAATGGACAATATAATTGGTGATATCTCAAAAGGGGTAAGAACTAGAAATATGACAAATTCTTGTATGTTTGTAGTTTTTGTTTCTCATATTGAACCCAAAAGTGTTGAGGAAGCTCTTAAAGATGACCAATGGTGCATAGCAATGCAAGAAGAACTTAATCAATTTGAAAGGAATCAAGTCTGGGAATTAATTCCAAGAGAAGAATCTCATCAAGTGATTGGAACAAAATGGGTATTTAGAAACAAACTTGATGAAGATGGAAATATAACAAAGAACAAAACCAGACTCATTTCCAAAGGTTACTGTCAAGAGGAAGTTATTGATTATGATGAAACTTATGCTCTTGTTGCCAGGTTAGAGGCTATACGCCTACTTCTTGCTTATGCCTCATCGATGAAATTTAAATTATATCAAATGGATGTTAAAAGTGCATTTTGAAATGGGTTTATCAAAGAGGAAGTATATGTGGAACAACCTCCTGGATTTGAAGATTTTAAATATCCTAACCATATTTTTAAATTGAAGAAAGCTTTATATGATTTGAAACAAGCCCCTAGGTCTTGGTATGAAAGATTAAGTAGTTTTCTAATTTCAAATGATTTTTCTAGAGGAAAAATTGATTCCACTTTGTTTATTAAGAAAGTAAAAGAACATATCTTATTAGTTCAAGTATATGTTGATGATATCATTTTTGGATCAACTGATAATTCCTTGTGTGTAGAATTTGCTAAGATAATGCAGGGTGAATTTGAAATGTCAATGATGGGAGAATTAACATTCTTTCTTGGACTTCAAATTAAACAACTTAAAGATGGCATTTTTGTGTCTCAAACCAAATACTGCAAAGAGATTCTCAAGAAATTTGGAATGGACACTTCAAAGGAAGCTAGCACACCCATGGGAACATCATGCTATTTAGACAGGGATGAATCAGATTTGGAAATTAATCAATCTATGTATAGAGGTATGATAGGTTCATTATTATACTTAACTGCAAGTAGACCTGGTATTATGCATTTTGTTTGTGTGTGTGCTAGATTTCAAGCATGTCCAAAAGAATCTCATTTAACTGCAGTAAAAAGAATTTTAAAATATTTAAAAGGAACTACAAGAACTGGTTTATGGTATCCATCTGAAGCTTCTCCTAGTTTAATAGGATATTCTGATTCCGATTATGGTGGATGTAAAATAGATAGAAAGATTACTAGTGGAACATGTCATTTGTTAGGATCATCCTTAGTGTCGTGGAACTCTAAGAAATAAGCATATGTTGCTTTATCCACTACTGAAGTTGAATATATTGCAGCTGGTAATTGTTGTGCTCAAATTTTATGGATGAAACAACAATTAGAAGACTATAGTATCTTTCTAAGTGATATTCCTTTGATGTGTGATAATACAAGTGCAATAAATCTTACTAAGAATCCAATAATGCACTCTAGAACTAAGCATATAGAGATTAGATATCACTTCTTAAGATATAATATTAGTAAAGGAAATTGTAAAATCGAATATGTTGATACAAAGCATCAATTAGAAGATATTTTTACTAAACCTCTTCCCAAGGATAGATTCTATGATCTTAGAAGAGACTTAGGAATATTAGAAATAGTCTAAACTCTGCTTAACTGACCAATCTTTGCATTGATTGAGGGGGAGCTATAATTTTATCTTATGCACTTATTGCGGGGGAGCTTTCATTTTTTTATCATAATCAAAATAGGAGGAGAAATTATTTAAAGTCTATTATGTTTATTAAATTTAAA